TGGTGCTGCCTGCTGGGCCAGCAGAGCATTTCCAGGGAGGGAAGCCCAAAGATTAGAAAAAAGATAACTTGGTTTTGTTTCTGAAATAGTTTTGATTTGCAGATGGAGCTAATCTAAGTAGCTGGATTTTGCCAATGCAAATTGATTTTTAAATTTTGATTATTAATTATTGTGCATATGCATAAGTTTTGGAAGTAAATGTATATCAGAATATTAATAAACTTAGCTGCTGTTTTATAAATTTTTATGAACAGAAAACAAGCAAACAGAACAAGCTGAAATCTTTGTTTTAAAACTTGCTTGAATTTTCTATAATAACATGTTAGGTTTTTTCCTATTTGTTGAAGCAGCAGCAAGGAGAGGCAATGGAACTTGGTAAGAACAAGAAATTTATTTATTAAAACTGCAGGTATGATATAGGCAGATACAATAATTTTTAATCAGTGCAGTTTAAAATCCCTGTCTGGAGTAAGTAATGCCCTCTGAAATGCTTTTGGGTTAATCATGTGCACGAAAAAACTTTGCAGCTGAAGAACTCCTGTTCAGTAATTTCTTCACTTGACTGCACCAAGTCATTTAATATAGTAAATACACACTACTTAACTTAGAAAAGGTGAGTTCAGGTGTTTGCCATAAATAATTCTGAAGTATGTTTGAGTCTGAACACGTGCTGTCACACGTTGCTGATCCCTGGTGGGTCACCACTGTTCACTGAGCTGTTTGTGGGAGGCATCGTTGGAGGCTCTGTGAGCTCAGACCCCCCGTGTGAGTGTGGAACACAGAGATGGGGATTTATTGATCGAGTGTTTTCCTTCTGCTCGGGCTCATGAATCCTCAGGAGCGTTGTCACCTGCGGTGTCTGTGCACACAGTCACCCAACAGCTGTCAGAGCTGCTGCTGGGCTCACTCTGTGCCTGGGTTTGAGAGCTGGGGCTGTGTGTCTGCTGGTCACTGCTGCTGGTGGGCTCAGGTTCACTCTGTCCCCGTGTTTGAGAGCTGGGGCCATGTATCTGCTGGTCACTGCTGCAGGTGGGCTCAGGCTCACTCTGTGCCCGTGTCTGAGAGCTGGGGCCATGTATCTGCTGTTCAGTGCTGCTGGTGGGCTCACTCTGTGCCCGTGTTTGACAGTCAGGGCCATGTATCTCCTGGTCAGTGCTGCAGGTGGGCTCACTCTGTGCCCATGTCTGAGAGTTGGGGCTGTGTATCTGCTGTTCAGAGCTGCTGGTGGGCTCACTCTGTGCCCATGTTTGACAGTCAGGGCCATGTATCTGCTCACTGCTGTGCTGCAGCTCCACATCTGCGCGAGCCTTTGTCTGCTTGGGGGCTGCAAATGCCTCTGTGAACTTCAGCCGGAAGGATTTGGAGAGGTGGTAATAGAGGATGGGGTCGAAGCAGAGGTTTGAGACGGCAAAGAGCAGGGTGGACTCCTTGGCTTTGAAGAGGGCCCGGCGGAGGGGGCAGCTGGCCGCGCTGTCCCGCTGGCTCAGCGTGTAGGGGATGCGCACGGCGTGGTAGGGCACGAAGCACAGCAGGTACCCGGCCGTCACCAGCAGGATGTGGGTCAGCGCCTTCCTCACGCTGCCGTAGCTCTCGCTGTACTTGTGGCGGTGCAGCTGCCTGACCACCAGGAAGTTGGAGATCAGGATCACGGCCGAGAAGTTCAGGAATATGGCCGTGCAGATGAAGTTGGTGAACACGTGCCAGTCTCTCCCGAACTTGGTTTTGAAGTCGATGCACCCCGCGCCGGGTCTCTCCTCGATGTGCTGGATGGGAATGGCCATGTTGGGCACGGTGATGAGCAGCACCATGACCCACACGACCGCGGACAGGGTCTTGGCAAAGCCGGGCTCCTGGATGCGGTAGATCTTGGAGCTGTGCACCAGCTGCAGGCAGCGATCCATGCTCACAAATCCCAGAAATATGATTGACAGGTACATGTTCAGGTAGATGAAACAGGCTGTAACCTGGCAGTGGAATATTCTCAGATTCCAGGACGCAATTCCTAGGTCGACAATGATCTTCATTGGCAAAGTCAAAGTCAACAGGAAATCTGCAGTGAGGAGGTTGATCAGGTAGATGCTCATAGGTTTGTGTTTCTGATGCTTCTGTGTGAATGCCCACAGGGCGAAAAAGCTTCCAATAATTCCCATGAGAAAAATCAAGTAGTAAAAATAGGTAAAAGGTTCCATTTCTTCATAGATGTGGCATTCTGAAACGTTGCTTGACATTGTAAACTCCTGTGTGAGTTGGCTTTGCTGACTCGAGGTATCAAGGACCTACGAAAAGAACCGAGAGGACATCAGTGACATCCACCTTTCCTAAGAGACAGGAGTTATTCTCTTAGAATTCTGTTTGATTAATTTCAAGAAAAAATGCAATTAGGAAGAAATATTTTTCTCGCTCTTCATGCTGCTCCCCAGATGATCAGGAGGGCTTTGTTCTCATGTTGGAAGACTTAGGAATATATTAGGATTTGTTCCTGAAACCATAGAGCCTTCTGAGCAGCTTTTCCACTGGAGCAGCCTTTCTGGGAGGGTTTGGTTCGACACCCACCCTCAGCCAACGTGCCAGAGAAAAAGGTTTGAATCTATTTAAGCATTTAGTTAACAATGCTAAAACTTCATAATTTTTTTTTTTAAGGATTGAAACTATGCCTATAAAAAAGTAATCTTTGTACCAGCCTTGTTCTGTAAAAATGTGTTGGGAGTTCTGAGTGAGTGCACTGGCAGACCAATATGTGGATATGTCTAATGGGTGAGCAAATGGTTCTGACCAGTCCTGAGGTTTGCACGCTGCTCTCTCTTCCCACTTGAACAAATTAATCGTATGTCTTTATGAAACTTTTAGGAAAGGGACATTTTGAAAGAAGCAGATAATAAGTAATGTTGCTCATTTCCTTTGTAAGCTTCACCAGAAATTAAAGGGGAGAAAAGTAAAAAATATTGGTCCTATTTCAACTAAATATATGACTCCATGACTGAGGGGCTCGTTTGTCTGCTACACTGCAGGCTGCTACATAGAATGGCTGTGGGAAAGGCTGTTCCTTTGAATTTCTTGGAATGAAAACCAATACATTTATGTCTTGAGTAGCATCAGAATGCAACACTTCTATTTCTTTATATTGTTTCTAATATTAATATACAATATAAGAGAACTACTGCAGCTGCACGTGTAACTTCTGCTGTAAAATATGTATCCAGACGTGCATAATTTGTAAAGCAAAACGATTGCAGATACTCCAGTGGTTTAAAAGGGGGAGGAAGCAGTTCACTCCTTGCAGTTGGCTTTCTGCCCCTGTTGTGCTGAGCACAGGTACCTGGGTGGAACTGAGCGTGGTGAGTGTGGTGAGGGGAGGGCAGGCGGTGCCGGGCTCGCTGCTCCCCAGGCACCGGAGTTCCTGCCCTGCCCTCGGAGCATCCCGGCTCGTCCCGTCCTGTGCGGGGCGAGGAGCCCCCGGCAAACCGAGCCCCGAGGGGCTGCTGGGCTGGAGCCCCCATAAAACCGAGCCCCGAGGGGCTGCTGGGCCGGAGCCCCGCGGGCACAGTGCGGCTCTGCCCGGGTGACACTGGCACCGACAGCGAGCCCGGTTTGCTGAGCCCGACCCCGACCCCGACCCCCGTGCGTTTGGCACAGCCGGGTCTCTGACTGTACATCCACGGGCATCCAAACGGGCTGAAACAGAGCCTGACCCCACGTACCTGTCCCTGTGGCCTGGGCTCTCCTGAGCATCGGTCTGCAGAGGTCTGATGTGTCCCAGCGACTGCTCCCCCAGCCCGATGCTGTGTGACCTTCTTCTCCTCCGGCCGCCTCCGCGGGGCTCTGAAAACGTGGCTGTGGTTTTTAAATGAGGCGACTGACGCAGTTAAACCCAGAGTTCAAGCGGCTAAATCACGTGGAAGGTACCCGAAAGAGTGGGACAGAAAGACGTAAGTGCTCACGGAACAGCCCCGAGCCCTCTCTTTCCTGTTCCCGGGGAGGGGCACCCCCAGTGCTGCCCACGGGGGCTGTGCCCCGACACCCCCAGTGC